CAAAAAATAAAGGGAACACTACTGCTCAAAAAATAAAGGGAACACTTAAACAACGCACGCTAAGTCCAACTTTTGTGAAGCACATTCARCTCTGTACAGAACAAAGTACTCAATGCAAATATTTCATTGATCAAGATCGGGAGTTAGCGTGCATTGTTTAAGTGTTCCCTTTATTTTTTTGAGCAGTGTATATAGTTCGTCTGGAGCCAAGACCAACTGCTACCATCTTTAAAGAAGTCTAGTGTAAATAACATCAGTATAATAAAAAAAGGAAGTTCAAACCTGCCTATCGTCTTTGAAAAGGTGTAAACAAAACAAGCTATAAACCTTTTCATTGTCATTTTTTTCTAATTCCATTGTTATTTGGGGAGAAATGTTAGGATTTTCTCGTGGAAAAACCCTAGGCTGCACTAAAAGTGCCACAGCTACTGTATAGCTGCTGCTGCTAGTGCCACATAGTTTGAAATAATAAACCATACAGTCTTATGAAAAGGTTTGGGCACCCTTGTTAATTTTCCTGATTTACCTTTATATATCATTGATTGTTTGGATTTAAAAAAAATCAGTAAACTATATCATATAGGGGACAAACACAGTGATATTTGAGAAGTGAAATGAAGTTTATATGABTTACAGAAAGTGTGCAATAATTGGTTAAACAAAATTAGGCAGGTGCATAAATTTGGGCACCATAAAAAAAACTCACCTAAATATTTAGTAGCTCCTCCTTTCACAGAAATACCAGCCAATAAACACTTCCTACAGCTTCTAATGAGAGTCTGGATTGTGGCTGAAGTATTTTAGACCATTCTTCTTTACAAAACATCTCTACTTCATTCAGGTTTGATGGTTTCTGAGAATGGACAGCTCTCTTTAAGTGACACCACAGATTTTCAATAATATTCAGATCTGGGGACTGAGATGGCCATTCCAGAACTTTGTACTTGTTCCTCTGCATGAATGCCTTAGTAGATTYTGAGCAGTGTTTAGGGTCGTTGTCTTGTTGGAAGATCCAGCCCAGCTTCAGCAGTTTCAGCTTTGTCACTGATTCCTGGACATTGGTCTCCAGAATCTGCTGATATTGGTTGGAATCCATGTGATTTGTGATATGGGCGGAGAAAAGGCTTCCTCTGCATCACTCTCCCATACAGCATCTCCTTGTGTAAATTGTGCTGAATAGTTGAATGAAGCACAGTGACTCCATCAGCAGCAAGATGATGTTGTAGGTCTTTGGTGCTGGTCTGTGGGTTGACTCTGACTGTTCTCAACATCCTTCACTTCTGTTTTTTCCAGATTTTTCWTTGTCTGCCACTTKGAKCCTWCRCTTGAACTGTGCCTGTGRTCCTCCATTTTCTCACAATGTTTCTCACAGTGGAGACTGAAAGATGAAATCTCTGAGATAGCTTTCTGTATCCTTCCCCTAAACCATGACGGTGAACAATCTTTGTTTTCAGCTCATTTGAAAGTTTTTTTTAAAACTCCCATGCTGCCACTCTTCAAAGAAGATGCAAAGAGGAGAAAAACTTACCATTGCCCCCCTTAAATACCATTTCTCATAATTGGAGTCACCTTGTATGGAGGTAAAGGGTCACTGAACTTATCAAACCCAATTTGAGTGCCAATAATTTGTTCTAAAGGTTTTGAAATCAATAAAATGAAAACGGTGCCCAAATTTATGCACCTGCCTAATTTTGTTTAAACATTTATTGCACACTTTCTGTAAATCATATAAACTTCATTTCACTTCTCTAATATCACTGTGTTTGTCCCCTATATGATWTATTTAACTGATATTTTTAGTCCAAACAATCAATGATTTATAAAGGTAAATCTGGAAAATTAACAAGGGTGCCCAAACTTTTTCATATGACTGTATAAAATAGCATTTGTATAAACTGCAATGATATTTTTAAGGGTTTGGAGCTGTAAAGAAAAAAAGGCCACACAGGTCTTGATGCTGCCCACAGTAGTTTTTAATGCATTTAAAATAAAGGTATGTTCCTCCAAACTGAGGTTGTTCAAAAAAGCAGACTTGTAATAAATTATTTGTTTATAAGTTTTCTATATTTTTTTTCTTCAAATGAGCAAGTAGCTTTAAGCCTAATGTTTTTTTAGTTTGTCGTACTTCCATTTACTAATACATGAGACCATCTTGACTTCATCCTATTATTTACGTCATTGATTTTATCCCATAATCTTACACTAATAACAGCTTTACTGAGGTAAATGAAGAAAAATCCATATTCAATGATTAACCTACCAACAGTTACAGCTATCCCCAGGTAACTGATTGTTGTCCAGAAAATGGCCATCAGGGTGCCTTTGGGGATGGCGGTAGCAGGGTCCTACAGAGACAAAAGGGTACACATCATTATATCATTTTCTAGAATTATATCTGGTGAGAAGTGTTCTTCTGAAATTCATACTTTCAAATCTCCAGAGATGTTGGCTCCAGAGAGAATACCAATCGCAGCAGGAAAGAAAATGGCAAACATTTGGAAAAAACTTCCTTCGGATCCTCTCCAGTTTGGTGTTAGGTTTTCTACAAAGACATCACCTACAGAGAAGGCCATACAATTCATGGAGAGCAGAATGTAGAAACAGAACATTGACTGCAAACTGTGAACTATTTTAAAAAATACACCAAATCTTTTCTCCTCTATCAACTATTGTGATCCGCTTTGCAAGGGTGGCCTGGGCGGGCCTGAAGGCAAAGTAATGAGCATGTTTTTGGTCTGTGATGTTCTAAAAGAATGTTTTGCAATTCTGTTGAATGTTACTCTTGACTTTAAAAATGTAAAAGAAAATAAAAACCTGTTAAAGAAATTTTGTGGACAGCATTAGTTTCTAAAATTTTGTACAAAAATTTACTTTTTTTACTACCCAATTAACTCACAAATCGTAACTGGATTCACTGTGTTTGCTACCAATGAAAATTATGACATTTTGCTGATGTTCAAAGCTTGAATTAATTATTATTATTATTATTGTTGCCGTTGACATTCTTTCTAGGTTTCTCTGCTCCAGCAGACCTGATTTCAGTGAACGCGTGATCAACGGGCTTCCACTGAATTTGAAGAGGTAATTAAAATCAATGAACCAGGTGTGTTGGAGCAGAATACAGGACCAGAATTGGACACAATGGTTTAGACCAGGGGTGCCCAACCAGTTGCTCGCGGGCGACTGATCGCCCACCAGCTGGTTCCCAGGTGCCCGCGAAGCAACCTTGCTCTAACAGCTGATGAGCCGGCTCATCAGCTGTTAGAGCAAGGTTGCGCTCCGGCCGGGACTCATGTCCGCTCGCTGAGATCTCCGGCAGAAGCGGTGGAGGTGGGAGGCGGGAGGAGTTTATATTCCAGCCTTGAACACGCTCCCTCCTTGTCTGTGAGATGGGGAGCCGTGAAACAAGCAGCACTCCGAACATGATATCCCAAGACTTGGGTTCATGTGTTCTGAAACAAAGCGAAGTAATACAGTTGTTGATTACCAGTGTGGAAAAAAATGGATGAAAAATGAGCGAACAAGGAAACAAAAAGTTATTATTTTCACCCAGAAAGGGAGGAGGACTATTTTTTTGTTAAGTGCGGCAGCTGAATAACAAGCTTGCAGGACTGCAATCGATTTTCACTCGGCCCAGAACAAAAGGTAAGGCTGCCTGCTACGATAGCCTCATGATCCTGGCTCAACACAAAAAGTCTTTCAGCGATGGAGAAGTTATGAAAGAAGCATTTATTGAGGCTGCAGAAGCACTTTTTCGTGATTTTAAAAATAAAAGTGAGATCGTGGCTGCTATAAAGACGTGCAGTTGTCCAGACAAACTGTGACACAGCGATGTGTGGGAACTGCTGTGGATGTGAGGACCAGCTAAAAAAATGACGCCAAACAGAGTGTTTCTTCAGTTTGATGAGTCGACCAACATGGTAGATGTGGTCCAGCTGTGTGTTTTTTATCAGAATGGCCTTTGCAGACATGAGTGCAACAAGAGAAGATATTTTTAATGCTTTTATGGAGATTGTTAATAAAAGCAACTTGCCCCTCTGTTAACTCATTTCCATAACAACTGATGCCACTCCAGCAATGACCGGACACACTCTGCAAGCAGAATGACTCTTTCCCAGACCTGCTGCTGCACATGAAAATCCCACTAAGGTAGAGGCACATTTATTTTTATATAGCCTGCATGAAAAGTTGTGTTCTTGTTACGTCTGTATGTTGTTTCCTTTTTATTACATTTTAGACCAGCCTGGTGTATTATACACTGACTGGCACCTCTGTGTAATTTATTTATTTTGCTGTTTGGGTGTGCCCTTGTTTTCTGTACCTAATGTGGCTGTGTGTGTGTGTGTGTGTTCTTGTTTTTCCTACATTGTGGGGTCCAGTTTTAAGGAAAATGCAGCCTCGTGGGGACCGAGTGCTCCTTCTGGGGCCCAACGCCGTGGCCCCACAACTTCAGAGGCTGATTTTGGGTTGGGGGGTTGGGTTTGGGACCAAGGTGTGAATTGAGTTTAGGTTAGTTTTAGGTTCAGGAAGGTACCTGTTTGTGTGTGTGTGTGTGTGTGTGTGTGTGTGTGTGTGTGTGTGTGTGTGCGTGCGTGCGTGCGTGCGTGCGTGCGTGCGTGCGTGCGTGCGTGCGTGCGTGCGTGCGTACGTGCGTGCGTGTGTGTGTGATAGGTGGTGAACAGGTGGAACTCTTTGAATGGTCTGGAGCCGGCAGTCTGGACCAGTGAGGGACTGAGCTCTTCAGCACCTACAGAAGACACCATCCAGCATGCTGCACAGAGATGGAGGTTTGAAATAGTTGTTGGACATTTGTGAATCTGCACCATCATAAGTCACTTTTTGTAATAGTATAAACGAGAGACTTTTATTTTGTTTTTCCTCCCCTGTATGGAGAGAAGAGTTCTTTGAATAAATGGAGATGAGTTCCTGTGCTCCAAAGTTATTTGACTCTGGGTTCTCGCACTGATCAGGTTTTCAGCCCTCATAGCTCGCACGTTACAGTGAGTACTAATTGAAGGAGATTAAAAAATGGTACTTTTTGTTCAAGCATCACTTTTCTGTTTCTCTGTCAGGAGTTAAGTAAGGATTTTATCTTTTCTTTTTTGTAGGTAAATATATGGTTAAGTAGATAGTTTTGTTTGACAATACCTTAAATTAAATAAAACTAGCAACACATTATGTTCTGCTTTATTTACTTTAAAGAAGTGAGGAGTAGGGAGATGAAAAATTATGTTTTTTAATACTGAGACTGGACTCGTAGATCTCAGCAAACTGCCGACTTCGTAGCTCTTGGTTCAAAAAAGGTTGGGCACCCCTGATTTAGACACTTAGATGCAGGAAGTCTGAATTGGTTTAACCTCTTTCACATTTTTTTCCTCTATTTTGCATGAGGATGCAAGAAAATGTATCATTTTAGCAACTTTAAGTTTTTGTTTTTTTGCATGTTACACAAAAAGCCTAAATTGTCCTTGACAATGAATTTCCAATCTTAAACTATGCACCAACGCACAATCATCATGCTACTTACTGTATAGGGTTGTTTTAAGTATTCACATGTATACAGAGTTCAAAATAAAATAAGACTCAAAGCATACCAACTTCTTGTGCAATGCAGTAATGCACTTTTTTGACGTATTAAGTCAAACACAGTGCTTTACCTCGGTATCCAAAGATTCCAACGGCTTGTTTCTCAATGTTAGGAGGGATCACTGTGCCCACAAAATAGTTTGCAAAGGAGATCAAAAGAACAAGAAAGAACAAAATCTGGGTCTGAAAAAGAAACACACAGGTAGTATAATATTTGATACCAATAAAAAATGCAGCATTGTACAAATAATTGGTAGGGATACACAATACAGCATAGCATGTACTAGTTACTTGCCTGGTACAGTATGTACTATTTGTATTATGTGTTACTAACAATAGCAAACATATATAGAGATATAAAAATGTCAAGATGTGTTTCAAATGTGCGCACCTTGGACTCCCACTCCATACCAGCCAGTGAAATAAGCAGAAGAACGGTGACAGTGATCACACCCACAATACGAACATCATTGATGGAATCAACCATGATGACATTAAACTCCTACATCAATCAATCAGATTAGTGACAACATTAAAAATGATCACTTTAACTGTTAAACTAAATAAAAGTGAAGTTAAAAGTATTGGAACACTCATAAGACCAGATATATTTCATTCACATTAAAGCTGCACATAATTGGTAAAACAAATACCTGCATTAGATCCCGAACAACCTCTGCAAAACCAACAGTGTTCATTGCACATGCCAGTGCATTGGCAAAGGAGAAAACCATCCCGATTGGTCCTCCAATTTCAGGACCCAGAGTTCTGGAGATCATAAAATATGCCCCACCTGGAAACCATTTTACACATAAAAACTGGAATTAAAAATTCTAATTTATTAAAAAAAGAAATAAAGTAACCAAAACAAATTACTGTTGTTGAAAAAATATATATTCAAATGCATTTCAGTTGATTCTCTTATGTACTGCTTCCTCGCAGATTACGAATGCCATTGAGTTTACTTCTAATTTACCAAGAAGTTTTAAATATTTCCCAAACTCTAGTATGTAATGTTGTAAACCAATCAAATCTGTTGATTGACTTAATTTGTTTTAAATGATTGGAGGCAAAATGTATAAAATGTATGAGGTTTGGACTTTTTTAGTCTATCATTGATTTGCCTGATATGATGGATCAATGAATGAATTGGTTCACTTCAATATACAATGATCTATTTTTCTTGTTTTCATTTCATACACTCTAATTTTTCAGATAGACTCACCTGAGACCACCCTCCCATTGGTGGCAATGGCAGAAATGGATAGCGTTGTCACAGATGTCACCACCACAGACATCAATATTATAACACACGTCAACACTGCCATAAAAGAAAATCAAAATATTAGAGAAAAATAAATTGTTTTTGTGCATTTTAGCTAGTTTCAGTTTTTTCAAGTGTCCTGTTTCAAACATTTATGATTTGATTCCACCAAGAGGGAGACAAAAGGAGGCAATGCGGCCTCTAACACACAAACATTTTTTTGGTCCTCACTACTGAATCTCCTAGCCAGTCTTTTATGTTCAGTGTTTGTTAGCAAATTATCTCAAGAAAAACTGACAAATTTCATTGAAACTTTCAAAAATGAATCAATGAATGAACATCCGATTTTCTGAATCAACCTGAGACTTGATGGTGCTACAGTTAAATAATCCTAATTAACTAAATAAATGGCTATAACTCAGTCAGTTTTATACACAATGAAACTTACCTGGATTTCCCCACGCAGGATAATAAAGTATGTTTCTATTCTATTCTATTCTATTCTATTCTATTCTATTAATTTGGTGTGGTAGTAGCTGATTGTCATCTCCAACACATAAGCTGATAACCAACAAGATCTCTGTTTAAAATGTTGCTGTTACCATGATTTTTAATTAACCTACATATAAACAGCATAGTAAAGCTCCAAAAGGTTTGTGGATTTTAGCTTTGGTGTTACTCTAAGCTTATAAAAGGCCACCCAATCAGAAACCCTGACAAAAACGACTAAAATATCASTAAAGAATTAAGTTTCAACTAAGTTTCTTTCCTTTACATTTTCCACATTTTCCCATTTTTAGAAAGGAAATATTTTCTTTTGCAAAAAGCCTTCCAAATTTAATCTTTACCTAAGATGAAACTCAATGACACACTTATGGCAACAACAGTCAATCAACAACAACGTCATCAATAAAAGCTACAGATAAGAAAGAGAAAATGTGCCTACTGTTGGCAGGCAGACACAGGTATAAAAAAGTGAGTGTGACATTTCCTGCCCATACAAAAAGGGGAAAAAATGTTGTAATGTTTAAGAAATTTGCCATAGTAGATATTGTTATGGCCAGAGGCCATTTGTTTGTAAAAGGCCGTGCTAAATACAGACTTGTTATTGAGTTTGTCAACACGAACCACTACCTGAGAGGGACTAGCCCCTCCCCTGTCAGAGTGTCGGAGCAGGACAAGTCAGTGCAACATCAATCAAATGAGAGAGAGGGTGGGGGCGTTTGCTGCATTGGGGGGGAGAAAATGTTTTATAGGTAGTTTATTTTTCCTGTAATACTTCGTTATAGTTTTTTTTAGACAAAGCTAATTGAAAGGGGCGGTGAGCAGAGTTACAACCAGGGATTACAAATAATTACTTTTTTTTCTTTTGCAGTTCAGCACCCCCTCCAGCAGATGGCGATCTAGGTGACCGCCTAGTTCACCTATGCCAAGAGCCGGCTCTGGGTTTAGGACTAAGGTGTAAATTGAGATTTGGTTAGTTTTAGGGCCAGGCAGGTACCTGTGAGCTTAGCCTTAGGGTTTGTGGTCAGGGTTAGGATATAAAATTACCAAAAAAGGAATGGAAGTCAATGGACGGGCCCCACAAGGATAGAAAAACAAGTTTGTGTGTGTGTGCATGTGTGTGTGGTTGTGCTGGTGGGGCATGAAATCACCAAAGCGGGTCCCATCAGAAAAGGTTTGGGAACCACTGCCTTAGCATCTTGTCATTTTGTTGGATGTCGTCTCCTGAGTCAAATGTTTGGCCTTGGTCATATTTTTTGCTGAACTCGGTAAGATCAAAGTGAAACAGGAAGTGATAACAAAGGGTAACTTGTTGGGTTTTATTCATTGAAACAATTTTATTTAAACCTCGGACTTTTCTTTATCTCTCTCTGATAGTGAGTCAAATATAAAGAAATGTCAGATTCTTTGCTTTTGTCTGAGTTAAGCTACATTTACACCAAACACGTTTTGAGCATCAAGAGCATCTGGTTTACATGCAAAGTCAATGGTGGATGCGCATCTATGGGCATCTAGAAACCGAACAGTGCGTCTGGCGCACTTCGAGCAGCGCAGTTCGAAGCAGTGCACATGTCATGAGCATTTTCCATGGGTGCGGCACGTACAAAGCGTCCGACGCATGAGTTGGAAAATCTGAACTTTTGCTGCTCGACGTGTCGCATAAACCAATCAGAGAGACTCTGCTCAGTGACGTACTGGTGACGAGCCCAGGAAATCGGATCACACAATGGAGGAAAAACTGATAGTCTGATCATTTATGATCATTCCAGTGTCCGTTATGATAGAAATAAAAAGGACTTTGCCCAGAGGACGATTAGTGAGGAAGTCGGCATGTCTGGTAAGTTATCGAAACTATGGTTAAAAGGCTCCTCCTATCGCACGTCTAAAGAAGCGCATCTATGTTCACATCAAATGCGTCTGTCCTCATTGGACACCAGCATCAAGATGATCGTAGTTTTAGATTTTTGGAGGCGCACAACGCGTTTGGTGTAAACGTTGCATAAGTCATTGTAGCGATGTTCTGTTTACATGGAGTTCTCCTTTGTCACTACTTCCTGTTACTGCGCAATGACCGTTTGTCTCAGCAGCGTGAATCATTTTTTTATTCCTTCCTAGTGTTATCTTTCCAAAACTGCATCTTTGTTCATCATAAAAACATAAAATAACTGAATGAAAGAAAAATAAATAAATGAAAAGGCGACTGACCAATGCCTGCCTGAGAGGTGATCCATGAGAGACGGAGGAACAAGATGACTCCCCAAATATTCAGCATGCAACGAACCTGAGACCAGAGTTAAAACATGAAATTAGATGTGTGATGGTGACGTGATCGCTACAGACTCGAGGCGTTAACCCTACTTGTTAAAAAGGTAAACATTTGCAGCATGTTTGAAAGTCTTTAAACATTGGTAAAGCAAAAGAGCTCACCATGACTCCAACTATCCAGCCGAATCTAACAGGAGCTTTCTCTGGGGGACCTTCAGCCTCTTCGTTTCCAAGATCTGGTGCTGGTAGGCTGCTTGAGCCTGAGGTGGCTCCTCCATCCACCTCCACCACCTGTCATGAGGAAATTTGGTAACAGATGGAAAAATGATGTTTCAGAATACAATTCCTGAACAATTACTGGGCGTACAAACAGCTGATCACTAGTATAATTTTAGTTAGTTATTTATTTTCACGTTTTATCCATACAAACTAAATCCAACAAATAAAATGTTGACTTAAAAAAATCGAGTGTCTGAAAACTTGTGGGGAAAACTTGGGGGTCCCTCTGGTATTGTTTGAATACATTAGCATTATTTGTTTTAGCATCTCCTCAAAAATATCGTAGTTTTAATAAAACAAATTTCAAAATATGAAACAGCACTTGCTTCAAATGTCTTGCGGAGCGTTTCAAGAGACGGCCTGCTTTTTGTCATCTGACGTGGAAGGGAGTTGGCGTAATGCTCCAGCTGGGGCACCAGGTCCATGGTGCTGTAGACCGAGGACCTGCGCAGCTCTGCCCTGGAGCCACGGCGCTCAAATGCAATGCTGATCACAAGCAGACAGCAACAAGTTCATTTTAAATAAATAACTGCAAATCTGTATAATAGCAAAGGCAGTGTTACTTCAGTTACTGTAAACATTTGCAGATTTATTGATAAATCTTGGTGCTGTAAGGATAGAAAAAAATTGATTACTGCAAATAAATGCATTTTTTTCTCCTGCTCAAAAATAAAATACCATTTTATAAATAAAAAATGGGCAAGGTCAAAGCAGCTGTTTTGTCAGAAATTCTGAGAAAGTAGACATTACAAAAAAATGAGTCATGTCCTCAGGTTCAACTTTTTTAAGTGCATATATTTTTTATTGAAAATGTTTTTTTTTTCACAAACGGTTTCAAAGGAAAATTACTGAATTTTAACTTGAAATTGCTTACTTTCGTTTGATTCAAATGTCAGTGAAAGAGGCCAGAAAAATAGGAAACAACTAACATTTTGTTTTTACTAATGACTCAGTCTGTGTTCAAAATATTAAAATATTATCTTGTTCACTCAATCACTACATTTAGAGTAGAATAAACAGAGGAAAGCTCAGTCTTTTTACATTTTGATGACTAATTAAAATGCTGCAGAATCTTATTCAAATGAGATTCAAATTTTCAGTCAGCTGTTGCCTAAAGAAGATACACACATGTCTGACTATGAGATGATGGAGAGGAGTTAAGGACTGTTCATCAGGATTACCTGTCTCCACACTGACAGGTTTCTCTCCACACATAGTACATTTTATAGATGTATAGATTTTATACAATTGACTGTAATTTTGACACAGTTTTAATATGCTATTTTAAAATATAATATTATCAATAATATTATTTATGCACAGAAACCTACTATAGTGTAATGTGTGTCTAAATACTATCATTGAGCCATGGCAGTGTAAATGTTAAAATATGTTTTGTTTAACAGTTTGAACAGTGATTCTTAAGCTTTTCATGTTTTAGATTTTAAAATAAATGTTTTAACCATATTAGTTCACATTTTTCTATTCATTTCTCAAGCCCTGCAGATCAGACAGAAGAAGGAGAGAATCCACCTTATTTTAGAGATTTTGTTTTTTATTTTTGCAAATTTCAAGCATTATTATTAAATCTGAAAATCCAAAACGATGAGCTATGATTGTTAGCATTGGTTAGCCTACAATGCCATTTCAGACTGCAATGCAATAAAATTTCCACTGACGTACAGTACTAGACTACTACACACAACTTTATTTATCAATATCATGCAACATGTTTCTTTGGCGTTATAACCAGTAGAAGAAAATGTACAAGTAAAATTATAACACCTGAACAAATAAAACTGATGTACTGTAGTGAATGAATAGACTGTTCCAGATAGCATTGGTAATATTTGACCTCCATTACAAAAGGCATGTTTTGAAGCAAACAGGTCTATGAAGCTGTATTTAAAGCTAAAGTTATTGATTGCGAATTTTTGTTTCTTGTTTCCATCAAGCTGTAGACCACATTTCCACTAAGAATTCTACATAATCATGGAAATTTTGTTTCCTTTTAACTCACATTGTGTATAATGTCCTAAAAAAAACAGGGTGATGACATGGCAGACAACTTCAGAGACAAATTCAGAACAAAAAAAATTTTTTTTTGCAAAACTGTGAGAGTAAATTTTGCTTGGACTTAAATCTTACAAAATTAAAATCACAAATTCTAGTCAAGAAGGTGAACACAGACTTTATCAGTTCATACAAACCTTGAGTCGTCGTCGGAGACAACAATGGTCGGAGGAATTCGAAGGTCATGGTTTTGATGTACGGTGCTATCAAAGTGGTGCGATGAGTACCTGGGAGGGCCCTCCTCATTGGTTGAGAAGCGGACAGCTCTGGTCAGTACATTATGTTTGGAAACAAACTGCCCCATTGGTACCTGTGGAGTGATACTGTATAGGCAAGGCAATTTTAATATATAGCACATTTAAATCACAAGACAATGCAAAGTGCTTTAAATGATGAAATTGTGAAAAAGAAGTAGCTTACATTACAGTGGCATAATAAGTTCATATTTTATAATATAAAATATGACTTTTTAATAAGAATAATGATAATTTGACCCTAAACCCTAAATTTGACTCTAAACAGATGGATTCCAGGATTGGAAAGAAAACTGATCAGAGTGCTGTACAGTAGGTAAAAAAATGCAAAGTGATCAAAATGGAGCTTTGGTGTGCTAAAGCTTCATTAGTACTAAAATAAACATGTTTAGCAAGTTATATCAAGACATTCCTAACAAAAAAACATGTTATTAGAGCAACATGCAAGAGTTATTTTGTCAGCCTTGTCATGAAAGAGACTGATACAGGTTGAATACTTATTTACTACTGAAGGAAGACTCTACATTTATCTATTAAGTGATCCCAGTATAAAATGTGCATTTACTTAAACATTTAAAATATTGAAATATTACTCCAGTAACAAAAATATTCTGTTATTATATATTAATGTATTAAGATTATACGTATTTATTTATATGGATAAAAAAAACTGTGAAACAGTTTGACCACTTTAAAAGAAAATAGAAACAATGATGCCTAGAAATACTCACGGTTGATTTCTTCTGATGAAACACGAGTCTCCTTCAACAAATGAAACATGAACCTTTTATCAATGCACTGAAAAACTTGTGTAATTTATACCTTCAGTGAGGCAGGTTTCATCCCCTCCCATTTACTTCATGTTCTTTCCTCCCCCTCAAACACACATCTTTTTCCAACACATACACACACATGCTCTCACACACTTCTGTAATTTCCACGCTTTCACTGACAATATTTTCTTCCATTTTTTTTTTTGTAAATTTATTTTTTGGAAGAAGATCTCTGGGAATGTAAATCTTAGCCTCACAACAATGGAAACATTTCTCAGTGGCAACGTTTGGTGTTAACCGGAGAATAGATGGGTATTGGATGGCACTAAATGTACCTGAGCACGTTTCATAAAGTTTATACAATGTATACTGTACTGTAAGCCATAGATGAATTTAGCTTTTTTTTTTTGAAAATCTTTTTAAAGTACAAAATACAAATTATTACACTGATAGAAATGTGACTGCAACATGTAGCCAGGACCATTTTTAAGGACTAATCAATAAAACTAAAATGTTTCCCTTTTCAAAAACAGTTTTCAACTTTATGAAACATTATGCAAAATTCTTGTTTAATGGTGATTATTCTAAAGGACTGCATGGTCTCAGGTATTTTACAATAAAACAGAAGTTGAATAGTTGCACAACCTAGATTTTTTTACATTTTTGTTTCCAGAACTGTTGACAATGCAGGAGCCTGTAGTGTTTTCTCCTTTAATATGGAACAGGAAGAAATTCCTCTATATTCTTAGTGACCATATATACTATCAGGGGCCCTTATTCCTCTTTATTTTCCTCTGTTTGTTCCAGCTTTTCTGAGGTGACTTCATGGTATAATGTATTTCCAGAAACAATGTCAATCAATATCTATTCAAAACCTAGCTAATGATTTTTTTTGTTCGAATGATGTGTGCGCAGCGAGGTCACAGAAGTTCCTCACATTTGCACTTACTGAGTGGCACACACAAAGACAAATATGTAAACTTATAATAAAATGTCCTATATGAGATCTTGAAACTCAGTCATCTACTGATTTTCTGCAAATACAGGTTCCAGTTGTTGGGCTGCTGTCCTATTGTCCATTTAGCTTAAAAGCATATTTATTTAAAACGACTTCACAGGGAATGTATTTTTAGAGGTGGGACCTTTTATATAT